GTTTTCTCATCTTGTGGAAAGGGAGATAAAGTTATGATAGTTTATCTCCCTTTCCACAGGTTTCCTGCAAGTTTGTGTCTCCGCTGCAGCCCCAGTGGCCCCAGCACCTCTGCGGCCATGGAGCTTAGGGGTGCTGGGTGCCGGGCCCCCTGCAGGCTGTGTCTTTGTTCCTCTGGCCCCAGTGGCCCCAGCACCATGGCGGCTGCAGGGCTTGGAGCTTCTGGGTACCGGGCCTCATGTGGGCTTGTGTCTCTGCTCCTCTGACCCCAGCGCCGCCACGGCCACGGGGCTTGGGGCTGCTGGGTGCCGGGCCCCCCTGCGGGCTGTGTCTCTGCTCCTCCAGCCCCAGCAGCCCCAGTGCCAAGGTGGAGTTTGGGGTTGCTGGGTGCTGGGTCCCCCTGTGGGCTTGTGTCTCTGCTCCTCTGTCCCCACGGCAGCGGCAACCAAGCAGGCACAGAGGCCCTCCACCGGCGGGTTGGGCAAAACACCTGCGTCCTGGCCCAGCCGCCACCATCTTTGTCAAGGAGTGACAGCAATTTGCAAGAATATTCCCTCCTATTGGCTGTGGGTGCCGCCATCTTTGTCACAGAGTGATGGCTAATTTGCATATTAGTCTTTTATTAGATAGGATTACTATGAATATGCTTTCAAAACCTGTACTATTCAGTAAATTGAAACCTCATGGAATAATCAATGACTTTTCTTTGTATTGAATGTTTCATTCCTTCCATTCTAAGACCATATCAATTATTAAAAGCATTCATCAATTTAGTATCAGCTTTGGTTGGAAAAGAAACACCATGTTGAATGTATGTAACAGCTATAATATGATTTCAGAAACATTAAAATGTACACACATTTATGTGTCTTAGAATAGAAGAAATGTACAGAAAAGAGAACTTTATGAGCAGAAAACTCTTACTCTCACTGAAATAAATATTCTATAGGCTCTTGCTACTCAAAGTGTGGTCCAAGTACCAAAGCTTTAACATCACTTGGAATGTTGTTGGCAGTGCAGAATCTCACACCTACTGAATCAGAGCATGCATTTTATCAAGATGCACATTAAGTCTGAAACAGTGCTATAGAGAACATAGCAGTGATTCTAGTTCTATTGCTTGTTGAAATGCAAAACCCTAAATCCCATCCCTATTGAGTTTGATTCAAGTGATCTGAGACCAGGAGCTTGTACTTTTAACACCAAGGTAGTTCTGCTTCAGGTGGCCCTCCTGAGACCACACCTGTTTTGTACTATTATGAGTGAATTTTCAGGTGCTATACAACCAACAGGAGCCATGAAAAGCAGTCTTAAAATAAAATTCCTTGCAATTCCTGGTTTGGTTGAAATAATTCAAAATGTTGAATAGAAGTTCAACCAAACTGAACATAGATGGTTAAATGTCCTAACATGGGCTCCTTCAATTTCTTCAGAGCAGCTATAGCCGTAGCCAAATTGATTGTGTTCATTGCAACCCAACCAAGAATATCGGAGCCTCAGCAAGACTGAGAGAACGGGGACCACCCAAGAACGTCGGAGCCTCAGCAAGATTAATGACCTCCACAGTCCTCACTGCCAGCCACAAAATGTATTAAACATCTCCTTAAGGACCCTCTAGGGAGCTTCTAAATTATTTCTCTACTTAGGTCCTAACTCACATCTCAATATTTTATTTCAGTTCTCTGGGTGATTGTTGAAAGAAAAATGGCTGTGTATGTGTGACTTTCAACAACAAGAATAAATATCTAGTGACCAAGGTCCTCAAACAGCTACTGCAAAAAGTAAATGGTAAAATATTTAACTGGTAGTCTACCTTTTAAATTTTTGAAAGCTTAAAATTCTGTCCATCCAAGCACAAATTTAATCAACTCTATATTACTAACATAGAGAATGAACTTCTTTGTAGTCTAGGATGTTAGCTATATGTTTCAAATACAGATTTTTAAAATATTATGTTATACTCTGGGATCAAAGTTAAGGGAACCCCAGTAACCTTCAAGAAATGGCTGGAATTAAATACAGAGAACTACCTATTTAGACACCTTCATGGCCAGCCTAGGAAAACGAACAAAAACAATGTGTGACTGATGAAAACTGTTGACTCATAGTTCATTATGTTTTGTATTGATTTTGAGAAAATCAGAAGAACGTTGTGTGCATAAACAATGAGGCCTTGTACCTTGCTGTTTAAGAAAGGTGTGAACCCTGAGCTGCCTTGCATCCATGGAGATACATTATTAGTGATTCTATTCTCCATTTCTCCAAATGAGGAAGCTAAGAGGAAGGGGAGGATATATGAGTATTTGAGAGGGACCAGAGAAACCCGTGAGCTTCTCTGTATTTTGAGCTAGAAGATGTGACTACAATTAAGTCCCGCTATATTCAACCTCTCCACTAGGACTGAGTTATTTCAATTAGCCTCTAACCATAAATGAGCATCCTAGAGGTGAGTTTTACTGGATTAAAAAAAAAAAACAAAACTGTGAGTCTGACCTTGTGACAGTGCCAATCCTGGGAAAAAGTTAAAATCTTGTTAATGGCATTGAACCACTTACTGTAGATGGATTCAGAGATTTGTCCACATAGAGCCGTTTGATCAGTTTCAGTGAATAGAAGGAACTAAGTTTGTTTACATCTGACGTTACTGTTTGAAATCCAAAGGGCACATCTTTGACGTTTTCAAAATGAAGGACCTGTGAAGAGAAAAAAAATCCACGACCCATGAAGCATGTGTCTTGCTGCTGCAGGGGTCATGGTAACTGCCCTCCTCCGTGGGGGTGCAGTGTCTCCCTGCTCCATTGTCCCATGAAGCAAGGCTTCTCAACCTTGGCCCTGCTGACATTCCAGGCAGGGTATTCTCTGTTGCCAGGTGAGGGGATTCGGGGACTGTCCTAGGTATCTGGGTATTGTAGGATGTTAGCAGCATCTCTTTCCTACTAGGTACCATTTGTGACAATCAAAAATGTCTCTAGACACTGCCAAATATCCCCGGAGGGGGGGTAGGGCCAAACTGTCCCCATTGGGAAACTCTGCCATAAAGATATTCTTCTCTGGATTTAACTATTGGGAAATTTATACTTTCTTCAAAATGATGCCTCTAATGCTCACACAGAGGCTCCCCAAACTTGGGAAAGAGTGAAACTGGGTTACAATTTCCATGTAATTCAGACACAAGAAGAGAAAGATTATAGCAAAAGAGAATATCATTAGGCAGGTATCAGATTCCAGGGTAGAGGAGTCTCTAGCCAGGATCTATCTAGTCCCTTTAGTTCCTCTGACAAGTGACAAATGGGCTGATGTGTCATTTACCATCAACGGTGGGCTTCTCTGGGTGGGCAAGAGTCAGACAACCTGGCCTTTGAGTCCCAGCCTATATCTACTCGAAATCTAATCTAGCCCAGCTCTGCCCAGCTTCACTCTCCCCTCTGTAAACTGTACTAGAAATACCTACTTTTCTGAGTTGTTATGAGGATTACAGATATTATACATAAAACACCTAAAGTATATCAATTAAAAATGTTCTTTCTAAGCCATTTACAACTAGGATGTCATCTTCTGGAGGGCTTAAATCCTTTTCATTTGTTCCTAACTTTTCTTCTGTCCCAATCAATAGCCCAGCATCTCCTCTGCCTCACGGTGCCTCAAAACGTGATGTCAGCACAAGGCGACTCTCTCCTCACTCCTAACTCATAACTGTGCCTGGAGGCCACACCTCAGGTAACATCACTAAATGGGCACATGGCACCAATGAGTAGCACAGCCCCACTATTGCAAGGTCACGTTGGCTAGTCCAAGGCCGTGCATAACTCTCATGCCTGCTGACAGGTAAAAGGACCAGAAAATTTTAAAATCAGGTAATTACTGCTGGAGGAACGACTGCATGTACATCACCCTTATTATTGCTGAGGAACAGACCTTCTCCCAGGAAGTTTCTTCTGTCCCCTCTCTAGTGGGAGATGAGAAATTGGAGATAGGGTAGAGATTTGGGGGGAGGGGGAGGATGAGAGAGCAGGACAGGTGAAAAGACAGCTCCTCTTCCCGCAGTTGAAGGTTCTTTTTCAAGTGCACGCAATTTCAAGTGTAAATTCTTCAATTATCAGGACCCAAAGAAGACTTCATGGGTCACACTTTCTGGGGATTTGTAGATACAAGATGTTCCCTTTTTAAATGCTATGAGTTCATGGAAATAAAGAGTCTGTTGAACCTAGGATAATCAACATAAGAATATTTATGGAATGGAATGAGAGGGGTGTTCACTTACCATCTAACAGTAAATGGGAGTGGGGTGAGAGGAATGGGTGAAGGGGGTAAAAAGGTACAAACTTCCAGTTATAAAATAGGGCATGGGGATGGTGTCAATATACAGCATGGTGTCAATAGTTAATAATACTGTGTTGCATATTTGAAAGTTAAGGGAGTAGATCTTAAGATTTCTCATCACAAAAATAAAGAAATTCTATAACTATGTATGATGTTAATTAGACTTACTGTGATTATCATTTTGCAATATATACAAATATCAATCATCATTGATATCTGAAACCAATATAATGCTGAATGTCCATTATACTTCAGTAAAAACTAATAAAGATTATGCTGTAAATAAATGTTGTGCACAACACAGGGATATAGATTTCTACTATTTCTGGTTGGGGTTTTTGCAGTGGAACATTTTATAAACACCACCTTGGTTGATTCTTACAGTATAGCACATAGAAAGATGTTGGGTGACTTGCCAAAGGCCACTCATTAGTGGAAAACTTGTGATTACCTAGAACATCCCCAGGTTTTCCATCACACATGGTGCCAGGGTTGCAGGACAAATAAGTAAGCTTTCGTTCACATTTGAGAGTAGATTGAGAGAGTGTTAGTAGTGACACAACTCTCAATCCTGAGCATCTCAGACCACAGAGCCCCATTCATCCTTCCTTAGGCACTGCCCATGGGTTCTAATAACTCTAGTCCAGCGGTTCTCAACCTGTGGGTCGCGACCCCTTTGGCGGTCAAATGACCCTTTCAAAGGGGTCGCCTAAGACCATCCTGCATATCAGATATTTACATTACAATTCATAACAGTAGCAACATTACAGTTATGAAGTAGCAATGAAAATAATTTTATGGTTGGGTCACAACATGAGGAACTGTATTTAAAGGGCCAGAAGGTTGAGAACCACTGCTCTAGTCTTGCTCTAAGTAGAAACAGGGTGTGGGGCTTACCTGTCCAATTTCATTGGCTGTGTCACCTTTGGCTCCTACTTGAACAAGTGACAGGGAGGTGGAGAGACAGATGGGAGAGAAGAGGACATTGCCTGCTGGCTCCTTTTCACAGAGTTTTTTGAACGGATCAACTGCAAAAGCAGAGTTTGCCAGTTGCAGGGCATCCATCGTGGGCCTGAAACAAAGGATAAGGGTCTTTAAAGTCTTCTCACCTGAATTCTGCCACCCCAATAAGTATTCCATCTGAACAACCCTCCCAGTGTGGCTTAGTTGGTTGGGCATTGTCCCATGCACCAAATGGTTGCTGGTTCAACTCCAGGTCAGGGCACATGCCCGGGCTACGGGCTCAATCCCTGGTGGGGAAGTGTGCAGGAGGCAGCCAATCAATGTTTCATTATTACATCTATGTTTTTCTCTCTCTCTCCCCCTCCCTTTTTCTCTCTCTAAAAATCAATTTTAAAAATCCTAAAAAAAAAAAGTCCATCTAAACAAAGTAATGGTCTTGGATAGAAGAGAAGAAGGAACTTTGCATTAAATGCAATTTAAAAAGCCAGTGGGGAAGAAACTTCTGGGCAAATACCCTAAGATCTGAATGGCCCAGCTTTTGAGGTCCTCAGTGTGAGCAGCTCTGCCCGAAATCTTCAAATTCAAGCATACTCAGCCACAATGACCACTGTCAGGAGCCCAGTGATCACACCTCTTCCTCAGCAAGTGGTCAGAACAGTTGACGGCACTGAACAGAATCAGTTGGTTTTATTTATCCATATTGTTTCAAATAGGATTGAGGTTAAAGCATACAAAACTGGCATTTTTGTACATCAAAAACAGTCAAGTCACAGCAGTTTTGTGTGATTCAGTTTAATAGTAGGTGTTATGGGTTGAATTTGTGTTTCCCCCAAAAGATATGTTGGAGTCCCATCCCTGGGTACCAGTGAATGTGAACTTATTTGAAAATAGGGTCTTTGTAGATTTAATTAAGTTGAGGTCCTAATCCAATATGACTGGTGTCCTTATCAGAAAGAACAGGAGGAAAGACAGAGACAGACAGGCACAGAGAGAAGATGATGCGAAGACACCAATGTGACAACAGGCAGAGATTGGAGTGATGTTTCTACAAGCCAAGGAACACCAAGGATGGCTGGCAACCCAGAAGCCAAGAGAGAGACGAGGAATAGTCTCCTCTAGGGCTTGCAGAGGGAACGTGGCCCTGCCGAGACCTTGATTTCAGACTTCTGGCCTCCAGGACTGTGAGAGAAGACATTTCTGTGTTAAGTCACCCAGGTTGTGACCTTGTTCATGCTCGCTGGTCACCTCCAAAGACTTCTTCCTCCTTTACTTTATGTCCCTGACAAGCACAGCTAACAGAACTCAGATCAGTGTTCTCATTGCAAACCTATCTCAAGGTCATCTAAAGTCAGGGTGGATAGCTCACAGCCTTATTTTTTCTTCTGGGGTGGGGTCAGAGGCCGAGGGACGACTGCACACCCCAGTCACAGAGACCAGCATGAGGTGTACAGAGGGCAATGAGACAGAAATGGGAGCATGCAGAGTATTTGGACCAGTGTGTCCATCACGAGGAAATAAAAAGAAAATTCACAAAAGATTTGAGGGAGTCCTTTCTCCAGGAGCAAATTTAACATTGATAATGCTGAGTTTGTCTACAATAAAATTTAACATGAGTTATTTCTCAACCAAATTGAGAAGCTTGAATGAGCTGTTTTTTCACCAAATATAGAAGGCTCTGCCCAGATCCCTGTAAACTTCTCAAAGCTTCAACAACTGAGGCCTAATCACATAAATAATAACCTGAAACATACCAATTGTGCTTTAACAAACACAAGTAGTTCTTCCCAGAATGCATTCACTATCCTCAAAGAGAGCAATTCCAACAATTTTGCATAATCAATAACAAGCTTTCCTTTTAACGTTTGACTTCCTTTGTGTAGAAAACCTGTGTTTAAGACCTGGGAGTACTGTGCTAAGGGAGTTTGACTACAAACACCTCAAAGCGTACCAAAAAGTAAGGAAATGTTCGTGTTACCGTTTTGTCCCACCAAAGCTTATTCTATTATTCATTATAACATTTTGAGATACACTTAGTCTCAGTAGTTCTGTCTGAATACAAGCTACTTTGTACAGTTGGCTTTTTGTACAGTTCATTACACAACATAGTTAACACTGTGTTGCAATTCAAGATATAGATTCAGGTGGCTGTTGGAGAATGTTCATCAGAGCACACCTGACACCTGAGGCTTTCTCATGGGTGCGGACCCTCCTTTCAGAGTCCTTTCCTTTGCATGAGAATCCTCAGAGCATGAGTCCAACAGGCCTGCCTCCCATTCATGTGCTGACTATCTCCTTTGTCAGAAAATTCTCCTTCAGGCTGAGGAAGTTCATGCAGCCCTTAACAGCTGAGGTCCCAGCAACAACAATGTTGTTTGATGCTTGACAAAGGTATCAGAAAAGGTCTGGACAAATACTTTCAACAATAAAGAATTAAAGCACTGCAAAAAAAGAGAGGAGGGAAGGAAGGAAGGAAGGAAGGAAGGAAGGAAGAAAGAAAGGAAGAAAGAAAGAAAGAAAAGAGGTCTGAACATGGGAATTGCTATAGAAGCAAACAATCACCAGCTAACTCCTCAATCAGATGTTGTCAGATAAATATGATCAGTTGTTCAGTGATTGGTCCCAAGTGACCCCAAAACACTGCAGAGCTGATCTAGGCTAAGGTAGTTCAAGGGATGATTGGGCCACAGTGAGTGGCCACCTCCCCGTGCTGCACGGCAGTCAAAGCATTTAAGCAGATCTTAGCAATGTGAGCTACACACGCAGGAAAAAGCATCAGGTTCAACATGGACCATTTTAGTAGCAAATACTCTAAAAATTATGGATATGAGAGTAGAGATTAGCAAGATCTGCAGAGTAAATTTACATTTCTAAAGACTTCTGCTCAGAGTGCTAAAATTGCCACAGACTTTTTTTCATTTTATTATCACTTTCTTATAGAGATAACTTCTTTGGTCTTCATGAAAACCTTCGAATAAGTATAACAAAGATAATTTTAGTTACAGTTCCAATGTAGAAAATACTGCATGTTTTTGTCACTTAGAAGTTTAAAAGAGTGAAATGGAAATTTAAGTAATAATTCAAATGCAACAAATGAACAACAAAGAGCTGTAAGAATTTATCACTAAGTTGCCTGGTTTTTGCGATATGTCCTAAAATCATAAACCTTTAGAGTGGGACAAGATTTTGGCATGGATCTAGTCTGGCTCCGTTTCTTCCTTTTACAGATGAGAAGAGTGAGGCAGACAAAGATGAAGGGATTCTCCAGGCCACCCACAAAGGGAGTGAGAGTGGTAAAACCAGCCCCAGCATTCACTTCTCCCAGCACCCAGCCTGGTGCATCCAACCACACCACACCCCCACCCTCGGTAACTGTGTCTTGGCTGACGTTTTTTCTCCCACAAGTCTTTAGAGTTCCAAAACTCCTACATGTCCTGAATTACCCTTTAGAGATACCAAGGTACTTTGCTTCTTTTTTTAAAAATCAATACAAACTTTTTTTCTCTCATTTCCTCCCTGGAGAATCTCTTGTTCTCTTCCTGCCATTTATGTTGCCAATGACTAATGTTATATTGCTTTCATTTAAAAAGTATTAACTGAGTACCAAATGCATGTCAGGCACTGAGTTAAGTGTTAAGGAATCAAAGGTGAACCCAGCACGGGTCCTGCCTTCAAGCAGCTGTCAGCCTAATGCCATGATGTGTGTAATGAGTCCTGGGCATTTTCTTGGGGAGCACAGGTTGTCATGGGAACCCTTACTCGAGAGGGAGAGAGCTCACTTATCATAGAAATCTCAGTGAGGTTTCCTCAGAGATGGTGCCATTAAGTAAGTCACACTAAAGGTGAGTCCTAAAGACAAGTGGGAGTTAGCTATGAAAAAAATGTGGGCCAAAAAGACTGCAAGCAATCCCAAATGAATGGAGAGGCGTGCACTAGAACATGAGCAGGATCAGGCATGCTCACTTCTCTAGACTTATAGCCCCTGCACAAAGATTCCCAGAGTCTTTAGTGCATCTAAGCCAATGGTCCTCAAACTTGTTGATAGACCATTTGATTGAGATAAATGCTCTAGGGACAGGTTGACCATACGTCCCACTGCCTGGGACAGTCCTGGATAATGTTTGCTGTTCTGACATGTCCCTTTCATTCTCAATCATGTTCTGTACTGAACAATATATGTTCAGCCTCCCTACAGACCACCCACCACACTCTTCTCTATACACGTGTGCGTGCATGCACACACACAGCCAGGTGCACAGCTTTCTCATTACTTAAAATTCTTTTCACTGTGTCAGGTGATTGTGGTTGTCATTCATGCTAACCTGCCCCATATGACATATGAAGAAAAATGCAGAGAAAAAAATAATCTTAAGTATTTTGTGTAGCCAGTCCTTAAGCAATGGCCTTGAGGAATCTTGCCTATTAGAGTAACTATCACCAGATGCCTAAAAACACAGCTTCTGCTGTCCGTATTCCAATTTCAAGAGGAAAAAAACACACAGCCAGGTTAAGAAAATAGGAGACCTTGGAGCTTCTGCAGTGTGAGAGACTGTCAGGATTAAAGGAAGTGACGAAAGGAGTAAACATATACGGGAAGACCTTTGTTAGCAGGAAAGGACAAGGCTGCTATTAGTAATAAGGTTAGGGCCTAATTTTCTATGGCAAGAGCACCTCTACTTTGCTCTGATATTGTGAGATGTCCTATCTCCTCCTGTTTGTTCAGAAGCCTGATCTTGACGACTGAGCCATCCCACTGCTGCCTAACAGCAAACTAGAGCCAGACTGGCCACGCCAGCATGACCAAGACTGCTGAGGTTGCAACCCTCAAAGTCAACCCACAACCCAGAGGGATTGAAGTGGCAGAATTCAAAGTGTTAAGAAGCAAAGATGTAGACCTGAGTCATTTTCTGGGATTTTCTTCAGGCTGGCTTCCATCTCTCTCTCTCCCCCAATCAAGGAAGTCAGCCAATTCTTTCACCTACTGATAGGGACTGAGTCTTGAGACCCACCTAATTCTATCAAACCTTTAGAGTGATGAAGGGGATGACAGGCTGTTAAGAATACCCATGTTGTCATGGAAACTTCCACAAGCTGTGAGTTTGAAGCGTGAATTCTAATGATCTTGCCACTTATAAGCTGTGTGACTTAGAACATCACGTCGTCACCTCTGTGAGTCATGCTCATCTACAGAATGAAGAACTGAGATGAAATACATCTAAGACCCCTCAGCTCTGAATCTGAGTCTACAGAACAGCCTGACACCTTAAGTTGATCTTCAATATGATACTCTTAAACGAAGCCATATAAACAGCAGCCACTGTAAAAAAAAGGAACGATGAGCCAACCTGTTTGAAAAGTTGCCCAAGAATACATATTTGACATCTATAACTTGTTTCAAGTATCCTAGACCCCAGAAACAGGGAGGGAGAATACATTCTGCTTAGAAGAAGGCAGTTTCAAGTAAGTGAACACCGACTAGATGCTTAAAAATGCCAAGAAGAAGAGCAGTTTTGAAGTCTGAATCTTAAAGCACACAAAACCAACCAGGAAGGCGAGTCAGACATTCAAATGTGTTGCCACTTTCTCCAGGTTTTGAGTATCAGGCCCTTTCTGAAATAAGCATTTCAAAATTCATTCTTAATTCCAAGGCCCAAAAGTGTGCTCAGAAATACTTCCTTCTCCACGCCCCACCTGTACTCTCGTCCCTCCATCAATCACTGCTGTGCCCATGCCCCTCCTCCCCTCCCACCACCACCACCAAATCCTCCCAGCCATGTTATTTCTCCAGATTCTTACCTTGTATGGCTAAGTGATTTCTCTCCCTATGTGACTTCCTGGTTCCCAAAGGACTGAGAGCTGGAGATGCTGCCCGTGTGGAGCGTGATGGACAACAGTCCCCAAGCCCACAGCCTAACCTTGAAAATAACCCATTATGTCGACTTTGTTCACTATCTTGAATCAACTCCAACACCTCTTTTGTGTTAAGAATTGCCCTGTAAAGGGAACTCACCAGCCCTGCCACCCCCACTTTGCTTACCTGGAGTTGCAGTTATCCTGGAAAACACACAGCAAGGGAAAAGGAAAGCCAAGCTCAGAGAAGGACCTCGCTGTGGAAGCAATTCTGTGGTCAGAGCAGCCAGCTTGCTCACCTGAACCCCGGCCACTCCCGCTGAGGCCACGCCCCACCTGTACTCTCATCCCTCCCACTTCTGCATGCTCAGCTCTTACTCATGTCTCCTGGCAGCTTCTCCAAGATTGAAGAAATTATTCAGGCTGAAGCTGCTGTTGCCTGCACAGCTTCCAAAGGCCTCCTACATGCTCAGGCAGGAAAGGGCTGCAAAAAATCCTGCCTTGGCCTAATACATACATAAGAGCAACCCTGGTAACCCATGAGGAATCGGAAGGTGAACTATTATATGAAAGAGAAGGCACATGTGATGGTTGTAAATAATTCATACTTCTCAAATATGGCTGTGCCACAAAAAACACCCTAACCTCCATCCTTTCCATGTAAATTACAGTAGCTCATTCTGTTAGATACCAAAGAGCTATCGACCTATTAAACAAAAAGGTGGTCACAAAAGAAGAGGACATATCAAATAAATTATATTTAGCAAAATAAATAGTACCAAATTGATAAGAGAAATCGCTTGATGGGGTTACCAATAAAATTTGGTGATTTGGTTTACAGAGCTCTGCCCTGAAAGCTCTCTGTGGATCCCGCTCTTTGTGTCTATGACAGTGGTCCTGACTTCTTGAAGATCCATCATGCAGTGGGATCTCCTCCTCTCTTCCTACCAAATCTACTCAGGAAAGGACCTTGAAATGAGCCAGTTCCTTCTCTGCTGTGCTCACCTAATTCCCTTCTGTTCATTTACTACATTGTTTTAAAATAATCTATGTCCTTTATGCTCTCCTCTATCTGAATACAAGCATCTTAAAGGCAAAGACCAAGCCTCATTTCTTTTTATAACACCAGCATTTGGTATTGACTTGATATACAGTATGGAGTCAATAAATGCTTGTTGACTAAATGAATAACAGCAACTCATTTTGCTAAACTAAGAATGACTAATAGATTTCCTTCCTCCCAGGCACTAGGTATTTTATTATAAACCAGCATCAAAGTCATAAACGCAATGAGTTAAACTCCAACAGTAGAATTTGGGGTATCACTGGAGCAAGTGGAGGAAAGAAGGTCAGTGATGTGGACAGGATTCTTCTCAAAAATCTCACTATCCAGCTATAGTGGGGAAAGTGGGTGTGAGGGCCACATCATAAACTTGAACACTGACTCCACCACTCACCACTTGATAAACCTTAGACAACGTACTGATCCTATCAAGGCTCAACTTGCTCATCTGTAAAATGAAACACGTATATACATGAAAAGACAATCCATGTGAGTGCCCGGCACATAGCATGTTCCCTAATAATGGTGGTGATTATCACCACTTCCACTATTCCTCAGACAGGCACAGCCTCAGGGAATGTCAAAATGGCCAAAAGACCAGTACAGGATATTCACACATCAAAGTCACTAGAATCATTTGTTGAACACCTGCTGCATGCTTGCTACTGTGACCCAAAGATTTTAAGAGACTTGCACTTACATCGGAGAGCTTTGTCTGTTCTCCTTTTTGATAGCTAGATTCCCTCTGTCACACTCCTGTTCAGTGCTTGTCTAACCTGGACAGAAACACTTCCAGCGACAGGAATTCAGCAATACCCAAGGAAGCGCAAACATAATTCTGACTGTTGGAAATAAATGTTTCTTTTAAAATATCCAGTTGGAAATGATATGCCTGTTTGTAGGAAGAAGCATTTGCTCTATAATTCCAAAAATAATATGTTTCTTCTTTTTTTATTTGCCACAAAACTATGTTATTACTGTGTATTAAAAAGAGTAGTTGCTTTCTTTTGAAGGGAAAACATATAGCTTAAAGAATGAATTATCCATTCATCCATCATACAAATTTATCAAACAATAATTTCCTGTAGTTCAACAAAAGTAATCATCAGCCCAAATATTTAATAACCTAGGAGACTCTTCTGTCGGGGCCTTTTCTTACCTATAGGTTAAAATACTGCAAACATTATAACTTGATTATTCAGCATTCGGGCTGAGGAATGGCTTGACACACCCAGCCACTCCCAGGAACAACTCAAAGGAGCTTTGTTATAGCATGCTTAGAATCATTCATATTCTCCCTCTCCTCCCCTCCCCTCCCCTCTCCGCCTCTCTCTTTCTCTCTCTCTCTCTCTCTCTCTCTCTCTCTCTCTCTCTCTCCAAAGATAAATTTCAATCATAAATTGTTGAGCACCCTCCCCAGATACCTACAAATAATAAAGTGTTTTTCACCCCATTAATAAGTATGAGTGCCTCCAATGTATACCAGTATGGCATCTCCCCATATAGCAGAGGAATGACAAGAACCTTGCACATGTCTAGAAATTCACAGAACAATAAAGGCTTCCATTCAGCTGCTGAGAGCTATTATCCCTTCTTCACGTGTGGAGAAACTGAGTCAGGAAAGAGAAGACAAGGTATGCCTTAGTGTTTCTGAGACAGAAAAAAAAGTTTCGAAACCTCAGATTTATAATTTTTCACCCTAATTACATCCATTTCAAGAACCTAGCAGCCTAACATGCTGTCATGCTCTTGGTCTCATCAGCTTCTAGTGTTTAAAAAGCCGTTCTGTCTAGAAGAAATTTTATAGTAAATGTTCACCTGTTATGGGAAATAATTTACATGTAATTTTCTGCTAAGAAACAAACTTAAGGGGAAAATAAAACACTAAGACAACTAAACAAACAATAAAGAAAGAGTCATGCTCACAAGATTAGTTGCATCCCAGTAGGTTAAAAAAATATATAAATGTACATGTATATTTAGGGACTTCCCCTTCTTACTATAATGCACTTAAGGGTTCCTTGATTTTTTTGCATTAAAAATTAAATATGTGGCCCTAATTGGTTTGGCTCAGTGGATAGAGCATCGGCCTGCAGACTCAAGGGTCCCAGGTTCGATTCCGGTCAAGGGCATGTACCTTGGTTGTGGGCACATCCCCAGTGGGGAGTTTGCAGGAGGCAGCTGATCGATGTTTCTCTCTCATCGATGTTTCTAACTCTCTATCCCTCTCCCTTCCTCTCTGTAAAAAATCAATAAAATATATTTTTTTAAAAATTACATATGTGTGTGTATACTTAGAAGACGTAACGAAAATGCATAAAATAATTTTAACAATAGTTATTTCTGGCTGGTGAAATTAAAGGTGATTTTAATTTTTTTATGTAGTGCGCTGTGTCTTCTAAATTTTCTATAGTCATCATATATTATTTCTTATGATTAGAAAGCTCTGGTTCTTGACAACTTACTTTCAAAAAGCTGTCTGCCACAACTGAGCCTTTGCATAATAAGTCTCCAGTTGTAGTCAATTACTACCTGTGGTATACAGCAGATACCTACTAGTTTAGTTGCTAATAAAGGGCGACATATCTTTTAAGTTATGTCTCTTAAGAAGTAGAAATTCCAGAGTGTCCCTTAGTGAGGTCTAGGAGCTCAAAGTGGCCCAGCAGAAGCTGGGGTCACACCCAAGACATCAACCAGCCCCAACCCCCCTACCCCCCTGAGATGAACCAGGCCAAGGAGGACAGGAGCCCTTCCAGAAGGATCCCCGCCCCAGGAGGAGGTACAGGCGGGAACAGGCCTGACACTTCCTCCCTCCTCCTCCGCAGGACCAGTCCCATGCTGACTCGGTGGTGGCCTGGATCTCTGCCTGACTACATGATGCAACTACAGCGCACAGAGAGTCAAGGAGAAGTCTAGGCTCAGCTCTAAAGGAAGCTTGGCCAAGTCCAAACCCCTTGTTTCCAAACAGTGAAACTTGAGCCCCCAGCGCCTTGTGTGCACATTTTTAAGAGTGATGTAAGACCTTTAACCACATGACTTGTAATAACCATTTTACAGAAGTTCTAGATTTATTCTATTTTATAAATGAAAAGGAAATAACTACAGAGGCACCGGGCTAGTGCATGACTTCCCCCAGGTCAGGTTGATAAAGCGGAAAGCAGATTCCATATTTAAATCCAGGTAGTGCTTGTAATAAATCCTCTACACTCCTGTATCAAACACCATACTATTGTGGCTAATCTGAGATTAAATGTATCCGTTTGATGTGGATGATGGAATATATTGAGTGGAATATGAGGACTCCTTCACCTAACAATCATTAGTTCTACGTGTTGACAGGACGTATGAGAGAATGTAGGAATGTAAACATCTCAGACATGAAGTCAACTGGCTTCACTTGGGAAGGGAGGAAATTTTCAAGAAGCTTCCAAGGTATTTGGGATGAGAGGGAGTAGTGTATGAATTCTGGTCTCTACCTCCTGAGAAGGAATCTAAAGGATACTTTCTATCCAGAGTCTTCATTTTTCCCAGACCTGGAGGACTTTGGGCTTTGCTTGTTGTAGCTCCAAGTCCTCCCCATGTGGAAACTTGAGACCAACATTTCTTCACTGAGCCCCATCTGCACTCGCTCCTCTTCCTCACACCCACTACCATGTGTGTCTGAGCCTGGTCCCTCCCTAGGTCCTAAGCCACAGGGAGAGCAGAGACCATGTTTCATTATCTGCATATACCCACTCCCCCTCTTAGAACTCTTACAGTGCTTTGCACATGAGACATTAAATAAACATGTCTGGAATTTGTAAAAGGACACGTGAGCAGATATCCAGTAGTAGAAAGCAGTATTTGTAGCAACAGCAGGTGCAAACAGTGATTCTTTTTTTTTTTTTAATATATTTTATTGAAATTTTACAGAGAAGAAGGGAGAGGGATAGAGAGTTAGAAACATCAATGAGAGAGAAACATTGATCAGCTGCCTCCTGCACACTCCCTACTGGGGATGTGCCCACAACCAAGGTACATGCCCTTGACCCCAGGAACCAGGAGGTCATGGTTCCATTCCTGGTCAGGGCATATGCCAGGGTTTTGGGCTCAATCCCCAGTGTAGGGTGGTGCAGGAGGAAGTCAGTCAATGATTCTTTCTCACCATTGCTGTTTCTTTCCCTCTCTCTCTCCCTTCCTCTCTCTGAAATCAATAAAAACATATTAAAAATACATATATACAGATCATGTATCACAGAAATGTACACTTGAAACC